GTAAAAAGAAAATTTGAAACAGCAGAAAATTAAACATAATACTTCCAATTATTGAAAAATCTGTACCTACAGTAAACAATGAAATCAAGCACAATAGGCTAAAGGAACACCAAGGAACTTCACATAGCAAACAGAAGACTGAACCTTCAGAGTAAAGATATTCTTGATTGCACAGTGGGAGGAAATTTCTAAGAGATGTATCCAAGCTAGTTTTTTAAAATTAATTTCTCACTTTCTAGACTTGAGTCTCAAAGTATTCATGTCACTTAAATAGAAATTGCAGCAGCTCATTCCAGATACAAATAAGTTTAGAATTTGCTGAATTAAATGGTAATAGACTGAAGCCAAATATTACATGCCCCAATAATTAGGAAATAGCCAATATATTTAAACATTTCTCTTTTTTCTGTTTAGAACTAAATATTAGCCAGTTGCTCAGTGAGATTAAACTTAAATCATAGGTCTGATCCTAAGTTTTTATGCATATTGAATGTTTTAATCCAATTCCCAGCCTCTTGAAGTCTTCCTCAGCCATGTGCAACCACAACCCAGCTCTTGCCATTACAGCCTTCAATGGCTTTTCAGCAAACAGCTGAAAACCTCTCCAAATCCCTGCACCTCTTTGCAATGTTTCCCTCTATGCTTTCCAGAAAATAGGCAAAGCCCAACATGAAATAGAAACAGCTGAACATTTGGCTCACCACTGGGAATTGCAGCTCAAACCAATGACATACTCTTATGGCAGAATGGCAGAGAAAAACATTCAATGAGAAGAAGAAAAGGACAGGAAAACATTCTGACAAAACATTTGTCTTTTATGACTTGATAAAGTAATGCAACCAGACAGAACCTTGGGAGATGAGTTTCCCTCTACAGCCTGAGAGAAGCCACACCTCACAACACATCCTAAGAAACGTCACCCAGAGCAGCACATTTGGTACCCAGGTGTGAAGGCATGCCAGATCTCTGCCAGTACAGCGTACCCTCTGCCTAGATGCTTTTTTTGTGCCATCATTTCCCTGATGGCACACCCTTGCAAAGTCAGTCAGGAGTGCTCCTGCCTTTGTGGCCTCGGAGAAGACATTTACGTAGGCATCAGTGACATCCCTTCAGCCTGCCAGAGTAAAGGTGCCCATTAACAGGTCTCTGTCATGCTTGGTTTTGGCATCCTACACTTCCAGGCAGACTCAGAGCAGTGTAAAACACATCTCATCTTCCTGCAATGGAGATAGACACCCTATCCCTTCAGAGCTCCTCAAACAATGAACACCACCAGTTGCCAAACACAACCAGCTTCCTTTGCAAACACCATCCTTTGCTTTGTGCTTAGTTTCTTCAGTCTTCTGTCTCTTTTTAAAGATTAGTTTCTGATGCCATTTTTCTTTGCTCGAAGGGGAGATTTTCAAAGGTGGTAATAATGTCAAACCCTGCAGCCCACTGGCTCTCAAGAGATGCTTACCTTATATTTGTGTCTGTAAAGAGTTCCTCTGACTCTTCCATTTTTCATCCGTAGAGATACTGAGCTTTTTCTTTTTGTCTTTTGGCATGGACTAACTGCTCTTCACCACTTACTATTTCTATTGCTTGACTACACTGACACTGATCTCAAACATCCAAAAAAGACTGCTTCTACTTCCTGAGGCCCATTAGCACAGCCTGTAGGCAGGAAGGATATGCACAGTCTCAGGCAGTCCTGATGCACTGCTTGCAATGCAGAAGGATGTGTGCAAAAAGAATATATGAAAACAAATAAAGTTAAATATTAGATTACAAGATTTCTATTTTAATCTTGTTACATTTTCCTATGAGAGGGAAGAAAATTTAAGTTTTAAGAGACAAACCAATCCTAGCTCAGGAATAAGAGTCCCCTTACTGCCAACAGGGAACAGTGTCTCAAGCCATCTTCCTGAAACCGAAAAATAAATCTATACCTGACCTCTTCTCTTACATTCTGTTTAAATAAGATTGCTGTCATGACCTCACTGTTTAAAACTGTCCCAAAGGTCACAAAGAAGTTTTTCACTGCAGCTGTGACTCAGAGCGACCCCTGAGGATTCTGCAAGGGCAGCCAAAATTCCAAAATCCATAAAGCTTTCTTTAAAAAGTTGTGAACTGTGCTACCATATTTAAGGCAACGTTTTTAACTCACCACACAAAGTGCTTTGACATGATTGGTTATAGTTAGTATAGCAGTGATATGTTAATTCAGGCACTTTTTATAGAGTAAATTATTTATATAGAGAACTTTCTTCACTGCTTTCACACTGGAAAGAATGCTGTCTTTACTGATCTAAACACCACCTTGAGCATGGGCAAGGGGAACTGCAATATTGCTTAAAAGCTATATTGTTTTTTCACATTCCCTTTGGGCAAAAAGAATTTTTAGGTATTAGGACAGTTTAACTAGCTCTTCTTTTTTTTCTCTTCCAGGAAGGCTAGGATGATGTCATTTTGCCTTTACATATTTTCTCAAAGTAAATCAAGGACAATTCAACTTTGAAGAAATGCATCCTTTCCATGGTTGACTCCCAGGGGTACTGATCCCCAGCCCAGCATCCTGTGGGTATTTACATAGTGGCCTATCTGTGACTTGATGGTTATCATCATCCTGTGTGGCACCATTCCTGGCATTGCTGCCCCTGGACAATATGCCATAAAATTGCTCAGATGTAGTATCCCAAATGACTAGAAATTCACATTCTCTATTTGCTCCTGTGAGGTACCTTTAGTCAGGGCAAAGTACTGCTAGCAAGTACGAGGGGAAAATGTCTATGTTCTTATGTGGTACATAAAGCAAAACCAAAACACAGAGAAACTGTTAAGTAAGAAATTTGGTAAGAGTTCAAAGACTATTGCTTATACAAGAAACTTGATCTTACTTGAAAAATAAAGGTGTGATTTCACACAGGATATTGGCCTAGATATAGGCCGTTTCCTATCACATAATGTACTATTATTTCACATCCTTATCTTCAGTTTTTATCTTGAAAGCAATGATTAACAAAGCAGATATAAACCCTTAGAAGCTTTTTCTGGGAGAAACTGAAGAATTTATCAGATCATAAACATTACAAGGCAATTTGATGCCTAGGTATATCCTTTACAACATAAGAAAGTACTTGACTCTCTGCTTATTAATTCTTTGTTCTATGAGGAGTTGAATATCTCAGTGTTAAGATGAAGATTTAATGTTTGTGAAAATTATATGTGTGCTACTCACAGAAAGGCTGATGTTGGAAGAGACCCTTGGAAATCGTGTGGTTACAGCTCTTCGCTCAAACTGGGCCACTTACAGCCAGTTGGCTGTATATATATATATATGTCCATGTGGCTTTTGAATATCTACAAGCAGGGAGACTCCAAAATCTTTTTGTGAAAACTCTGCCAGTTCTGTGTTACCCTCACAGGGAGAAAGCCTTTCCTGATGTTCAGAGGGAAACTTCTGCTTTTCAGTTTGTGTCCATTGTCTCTGGTCCTATCAAAAACTGGGCAACATTGAAGAGAACCTGGCTCCATCCCCTTTGCACTTTCCTTTCAGGTATTTGTATAAATTGATGAGATCCCCCTCAAGCCTTTTCTTTTTCCAGCTACACATTCACACCTCTCTGAGCCTTTTTTCATACAGGAAGTTCTGCAGTCCCTTATTATCTTAGTGAACTTTTGCTGCACTCTCCCCAGTACATCTATGCCTCTCTTGTACTGGGGAGCCCAGAACTAGACACAGCACTTCAGGTGTGCACTCAGCAGTGCTAAGTAGAGAGGAAGGCTTGGCTCCCTCACCCTGCTGGCAAAACTCTTCCTAGTGCAGGCCAGGACACCATTAGCCTTCTTTGCCACAGCTGCATGTTGCTGGCTCATGTTCCCCTTGGTGTCCGCCAGGAAGGACCTTCAGATCCTTTTGTTCAAAGCAGCTTTCCAGCTGGGTGGCCCCTGGTATATATTGGTGCCTAGGGTTGTTCCTCTCCAGATGAAGGACTTTGCATTTCACTTTGTTGACCTTCATGAGGTTCCTCTAGTCCTTTTCTGCAGCCTGTCAAAGACCCTCTGCACAGCACCACAACCCTCTGGTGCATCAATCACTCTTCCCAGTTAGGAGTCATCTACAAATTTACTGAGGGTGCACTCACTCTGCCCCAACATCCAGAACATCAATGAAAATTCTGAACAGGACTGGACCCACTACTGTTCCTCGGGATGTGGATGTGTTCCTGGGGATGGTTAGAGTGTGAGAAAACTAGATAAGTTTTCTTAAGATCAGCTTGTGAGAATTTAAGAATTTGAAGATAAGCAATGATAGCTTGTTATTATAAACAACCTGTAAGTAGTACTTTCTTACCCTCTTACTCTCTGTTTGCTTGTTTTTCTTAAAGATTGTTTATAGGAAAAAAGTTTTTTTTTTAATTACCCAATCAAGTAAAATGTATTGATTAATTGACCAATCTAGGCTGTTCGTATCGGAACAGTGTATAAGAGGGAGATTTTCAAAGTAGAACAAGATGCTGTACAAACCAGCCTTCTAATGTTTTTTTCTTACTCAACAGTAACATTGGGGCACACATATTGCTCTCCCACTAGAGTTTCTTCTGGCTTGAGCAGTTGTCCAGTTTTCAATCCACCTCACTGCCAGCTCATCCAACCCACACTTTAGTAGCTTCTCTAATGTAGCTGTTTAATTTAGTCTCATTGATTGAATAGAATAAAACCTTATTTTTACAAGCAGGAAAAAAGCTACATTACTTTGGCATTAACATGCAACACTTATAAACTACTGGAAATGTACGATTGCCAAGGTGACTGAAAGGAATTCCTCACAGTCACAGATTGTAGTTTAGGACATAATTTTGTCTCTTTTGTTTCAGATGTTAACACATAATCTCTGTTTAGCAATGACTATGCTATAAAGTTTGCCTCCAATACTTCTTGAACCATTGTTAGCAAAAGTCAAAATTTCAGCACCAAAAAATGCTAATATTTTAATTTACCTGAAAGTGATGGGAAAAAAAAAAAAAGAATATGTCAAATGTATTAGAAAAGCTTGTTCAACCTGAGTGATGCCTTGGGAACAATGAAATGTACAGCAGGGAATATATATACTAACAATACTCTGCATAAGAACATTTAGTAACATTTTTCTATCCTTCCTGAAACTAATTAGTCTGTATGACACTTATTGCTTTTATTGAACACCTCACAGTGCATGCAAGAAGTGTGTTGCATCTCCTGTGCAAAAGAGTTACTTCAAGATCCCACTGCCTTTTTGGTAGTGAAACAGCTGATCTGTTCCTTTGGAACCTGTTCAGCTCAGGTGTGGCAAAGGAAATCAAGTTTAAGACACGTATGTTAACTATCTGTGAGGCAGAACCTGTGCTGAATTTCAGCACTCTGTGATCACATAATGCAGAAGACACATCTATTTATTTAAATGAGCTGTGTTTTACAGCTCCTCCTGAGAATGTTATGGGCTGTAATTCAAACTCTGGCCAAAGGAGTCTTAAACTGCTGATCTATGGAATTTGGAAAACATAGCATACTTTCAAGTATGCTTCCATCAGTGATCACCACAAATAGAGACAAGAATGCTGAACTAGATGAGCACTTGGTTTAAGGCAACACAGGCCTTTCACTTGTTTTCTTATTCATAGACTTCATAATCATTCTTCGTAATCAATAACCAGTTTTCTAAGTGGAAGCCAGCCTGCCACCAAGGACCAGATGCGCATCCCACATATATGTACAAACTGCTTCCTGAAGAGCCAGATGCCATGAAATTGTCAGGAAAGGATGCCCTCTCACATGCCCCCCAGCCAGGAGGAGATTGTTTCTGACTGTATCAGAAATTTGTGCTTAAGCCCAAGATTTAACTACACAGCATAACACAGAGTAAGATTGTTGTTACAGTTAGTTGCTTAAGGCTTTGGATGAAAAAGATTTTATAGCTCAGATATGCTTTTTCTTTCAGCACTTACCTTCAACATGCGACATGAAAAGTAACTAAAGTGAGTCACAGGTAAACAGACTTATTTTTGAGGCTTTGCATGTGGGGCATATCCTTTCTGGAGAACAGTTGTGGAATTTTGTTAATTTGAATTCCATACATCCTTCAGCTAGTCTGCCAGGACTATTCAATTATGTGAAGGCACCAAAAAAGCCAATTCCTGCCTGACACCTCCTCTCTGCAAGTATAACAGAAGTCTGCTTAACCTTCAAGCATAAAGATGCTACATGGTACCCAGGTCACTGATTTCTCCTCACTGGAAAGTATGTTAGTCACAATAAAAGAGATGCCACCCTGAAGGCTGAAAGAATCAGGGGTCCAGCCTTTTAAAACCTGAGGAAATAGAGACTTTTGTGTTTACTTTACTGTTTTTGAGAGCAATCACTCAATTTATGACAAAAGATTACAGAATTGATAAGCTATTAATGAGGGTGAAAAGCAACCTCTCTTCTGAAATTGTGGAAAACCTCTAAAAGAGTGAAATCATGGTTTGAACAGTTTCTTCTTCTCAGTCTCTAAATGAAGCCTTTTGAGCAAAATGGTGAAGTTCATTCTATGATCTTTTGAGTCTCAAAGTTGCTAATTGTTCTGATCACTGTGTGATGCTGTTTTTCAAAAAGTTATGGCCTTCAAACATTTCAAACATTATAGCCTTCACTCTTAAATAAGTTTCAGTTTCAGATACTGTCTGAGACAAGGCCCACAGAGATGTGTGAAGCAGGACAAAGAGAGATAAACAAGTTTTCTTCCCAATCTTGCTTATTTATTGGGATTCTGCACAATGAAAAGAAAGCAAGTCTACTGAGATGTGGTTTATCACCCATCCTAAACATGAGAGACACCAGATCCAGGTTGGCTTGGATCTGTCTTCAGTGAAGTAGAATATGTAGAAGGTAATAACAGCATGAGTCAAACTGGCACTTCTGTCTTTACTTAGGCAAAAAAAAGCTGGCCAAATCAGCTATATGGAAAGGCATTCCAGACTCAGAACTCCTTAAGACTCTGAGAAAGCAATGTTTTGTTCAGAAAACAGGCCTGTGTGTGAAGTATTCCCACTGATAACCTTATTTACCTAATAGAGCTGCCTCAGCTGGGAAGGCCAGGCTTTGCCTCTATATTTGACAAAGACAGACCAGCTCAATGACACAGAGAAAGATTCAGAGCAGAAATACAGCTGAAGTACTATCACAGTTGCAGAAAAAGCTGTCATTCTCCCATGACTGAGCTGTAAACTCATCTTTCTTACTACAGTCTGGAAGAATGGCAGTGAGGCAACAGGCAAACTGTTTTCTCTGAAAAGTTTGTCCAATTTATGCTGAATTAAGCAGCCATATTTTCACACCGTGATTTTGGCAGATAAACAAAACCACTGTTCTCGGGTTTAAAAGGTGCATGAAAGGACTTTCAAATGCAAATTGATAAAGCATCCCACACAAAAAATGATACAAAGAGCAATCTTGCTTAAGGTAATTTAAATACCATATCACAAACAGTCAGAAAAGTTGGTCTACTTAGCTTCAGCACCTGGTTTGAACAAAAATCTCTAAACCATGATTGTTTAGCATTTCTGCATGAGGTTTCATGAGAAAGCCTTGAATAGTAGCACTATTATTGTATCTTCAGAAGTCAAACATAAAGTAAATGTTTACAAGTTTTATTTTCAGAATTTGAGTAATCAAAATGAGACTATTTAAGCAGCCATCATCTGAATTGCAAATTTTTAAAGTTTCAACCCAGTTCTTTGTTAGAAAGGAATTCATGTAACAGCTTGCATTAGATGATGTACTTGATAATAAAAACCAAATCTTTGGGTTTTGTCTACTTTTTTTTTCTCCACACTCTCTGCAGTATCATCTATGTTTTTCTTTCTCCTCTTCTCCTGAAAAGGAGCTGTAAGCCTGTTCAGCCAAGCAGACACAGAGCAAAAACACTTAAAGCCTTTTAGGAGTCAAGAGATCTGCAGTTAACGCCCTTGGTGAGTAAAGATTTGGTGCTTCTCCACGACTCCCATGCTGGCCACAGCTGACAGGAAGGTTCCAGGAATGTGAGTATCTACAGAATCCATAAAAACAAGGCTAAACATCAGTCATCAGCTCCCCCACCTATTCCTCTGGGGGGAACAATTGCTTCTGACTGATGAAATTTATTGGGCATTGGATAAAACCTACAAAATCCAGACTGTGCTATTTGGATTTAGTCTGTTTACAGGAGCTACTTTATCTTACTTGGTTTTTTCCACCGTTTAGACCCATTAGAAACAACCATTATTGCCAAACACTGATGCATACATTAAAGCAATTCAGGAATTCATAGCTTAAAACACACAGTAACATTTTAAAAAGATCTCCACAAAGATGTAAGATCAAAACTTGCAACTTCTATTCCACATTAGAAAATCACAGGCTTACTACCCACTTATGTCAATTTCCAAACATCCTTGGCATTCAGCTGCCATTACCTGTAGCTGTTAAAGGCACCTTTAGTTCTTGTTAGTAACTCATCATTAATATCTTCAGTCAGTTTTTACCACACCTTTTGCTTAAAAGTCACCCATGGCCAGGAGCAGCTGCTCTGCCTGGCAGGACCTGGGATGCAGCACCAAGCAGGAGAGCTGCAGCCTTCACTGCTCCCCTCAGCTGGTGCCTTTCCCACATCCCCTCCTGGAGGGGAAATGAGCCTCTCCAGACTTTCACCTTGGGAGGAGGTGGAGTGCCAAATCTCCTGAATGTCTGACGAGAGGCAGGAAAAATGAAGTCCTGGCAGAAGTAGTGGGAAGACAAAGCCTGAGCATGGAGCCAAGGGGGATGCACAGCTCAGTGATGGGTGAAGATGGGTACAAGAGGGTGGCAAACAGAAATGGTGCTAATTCTGAGTCAGACAAGAAAGACAGCCCTGTGAAGGCAATACAAGGAGCACAGGAGTAAGGAGCTCAAGTGCAGATCCATAGCAAGCAGCTGGGAAGGAAACTGTTTCAAGGAACTGGCAAGGAAGAAAGTGAGCCAGAGAGGAGCAAGAGAAAACTATTACTCGTGACATTTGGAAAACATTACTCTCCATATCCCACATGGTTCCAGAAACTCCCCATTACTCTGCTACCACCAAATAACTACTCCATAATTCATGACCAGCCTTTTCCCCCTAGCAAGTCTACAGAGAGGATGAGACCTCTTGCATTTCCTACAGTAGAATCTTCTATAATGGAATTACATCTGTGCCAGAGGCTATGATTTCTGTTTTTACCTTGACTCACTGTTCGAAAGTTCTTTAAAAACAAACAAACAAACAAACAAAGGACAACATTAATGAAAAAACATCCCCAACATCCCTGTAAAACACTTCTGGTTAAGGACTCAAAACTCAAGTAAATCAAATTTCTTGTGTGACCATAATTCTATGTTCTGATACAGGGTTAATATTCAGACTGGAAAATTATATGTCACATTTACACCAGAAATTTTTCTTACTGAGTAGGTGTTTAAGGGTGGGGACAAAATAAGAACCCACCTGAATATTTTCCAGAACTGGTATCAGAAAGTCATTCTTATTTTCAAAAAAACCTTTCACTATGGAAACAATAATAGATGATGTTATTTCAATCTGATGGCTTCACATCCACACAATTTTGAACATTTGGAATGTTTGTACAAATAGCATCACATTAATTCCTTTCCTTTTTCTTCTTGTGAATTTACAGTAATGCAGAATTAATAAAGCAAGTGGAAGTCTTGGCAACAGAAGACTTTTCTTTTTAGAGCTGACTTTCAAAATGGGAAGGAGAAAATCACCATCCTAACTTTTCCCATGAAATTGTATACTGACAGGTACAAATATGCAACCACACTGAAACACTTGTTCTCCCAAAATTAGCATTATTACTTTATTTTGTGATTCATTACAATCTGAAAATCCAATAGTCAAAAAAATAAACTAGGCATAATGTTAAAGCATTTTACAAGCAAAATACTTTACTGTTTCCATTTCAATTTGCATGGGGTGGGATAAGTGTATTGGTTAAAGAATAAAACATACAGAAGAACGATACCATAGAGTTCATCAAACTGCACTGCAGAGTGTTACATTCCTGTGAGTGAACTGCACTTAAGCAGCTGTTTCTGTCAATGGAAAGCCCTACATTTCGCCACTGACACGGCTGCCTTCCCATGACCATGATGCATCATGACGGCTGCAAGTCACTGATTCCTTTGCTTACATTGTAGGTCATTCTCCTTTAAAGAAATTAAAGAGTTAAACAAGCCAGAATGCATCCATCTATGCTCATTTCTTTTCTACCTGAACAAAGGACAGTATGGAGAGGGGGAATCTTTAAATTCAACTTCTGGAACCAGTTATAGTAACCTCTGTCTCTCATATTTTTAGTCTCACGGAGCTAATAAGCTTAGAGCTTCATCCACACATCTCTGTCTACTATTACTGTGAATCCAGGTAAGAAAACTGTACTTTTCACTTTGTAGAAACAAACTGCAAAGAGATCATGTTTCTTTCCTACTGTAGTCACGTCTCCGTTCCTCCAACTGTATAAATCTGGCTTTAAAGTCTCACAAAACTAAAAAATAGTTGATCTAGGTTGTAATAAAAAAAAGAATATTAAATACCTTTGGTAAAAATAGATATATTTAACAAGTTTAGAAAAGCAAATAGTTATATCATCAAAAGGAGAGTATAAAAATGTACACGATAAAAAATAACAAACACACAAAAAAAAATCATCAGCCATAGTAGTAAGAATAAAGGCACTGATATTTTCAATGTTTGCTTCCTTAGCTCACGTTATTGTCCAGTCTTCCTTCTAAAAGGCAGGAGCTTTACTAGAGCATATGGAAAAATCCAGTCCTTCCTACCAGCATTAGACAAATTAAATTTAATTCGGAAAAAGACAGTCTGTTTTAACCCAAGTTTATACAACAGAGAACACTTTGATTTAGAGTACATAGGAGTAGCTGAACACAAAGATTTCAGGTGTTTTCAACCAGAGGCCAGATGTACTCGAGCTGTAGAAATGAGACAGCCAGCAGGATCAAGTCTCCATGATGTCAGCCTTCTAAATCTATTTTTTACTCCTAAATTATAAATCCATGTATTGCCAAGAAAATTGTGGGGGACAAAACAATACATATATTTTAAATCCCTCATTGATGCCTTTCTCCCATCCTTTCACTGGGTCTCCAAACAGAGCTGTCACACAACATATAATCCCAGTTTGGCTTCTCTTTTTAGAGCTCACTGTAAATCTTCAAGACGGAAGATCCCCAAAGCAAACAACTGAGATTACAGAAGGAGATAATGCACAAGCCCCATAATAGAATCAGCCATTGATTGAATGTGCTTTGAAAGAAAACAGCACAATTATATCGTGTTTATCCTTCAGTATTCCTTTTGCACACACAGTCACACTCCTCGTGGTGTTCCAAGGGTACATCTGTCAATGATTTATGCAATCCTCGGACACCAATCCTTGGCTTCAGCTGAAGAACCTGAAGGAGAAGAAGCCAAGCATCAAGAAAACAGCAAGTGCTTCATCACACACCTAGGCTATGAGCTAGATTGCACTAAAAACCCACTGGATGACAGGAAGCATATTAAAACTGAATTTCTTCATTAATTCCACCCACTTGTTACTATTTTTGATTTTACCTCAAGCCATTTACAAAATTGATTAAATCATGTTGAACATGATTAAATCATATTGCTTTACCAAAGAAGAGTCTTGCAATTTCAGATTTCCACTTAATTTTATTTAAGAGAAAACAGTAGAATTAACCCAATTATAAAATTCTTTAATAAATAATTTTAGCTATAAATTTATAGCAATGGAAATGAACAAATATTTGTTTCTTCATAAAGTTGATATCAACCACTAGAGAAAGAAGAACAAAAGATATGGGTGTAGTGTGTCTGAAATGCACTAGTAAATACTTCAGAAATTAATTACTAGTTGCACAGAAAAGTATATTACCAAGGAAGATTTCACTTTTTTCAATGCAATACCTAATTAAAATGCTAAAAAATTATTTACTAGAAGTGCAATACATAAGATATTAAAATATTAATGTCGGTGCATTCATTTTATTAAAAATAAACACCCTGATTGGCTTTCAGTGTTTCCAAACATGAAAATTTAAAAATAGTGCATACCTCGTGGTACTTTTTGGTGACTTTTGTTGGCACACATTGGCACTCATTGCAGCTCTGCTGACAACAGGCACAGTTTCCACCGCAGCGTTTCACCAGCAGACACAGCGGCCAGAAGATTGTATCCGTCCTTTTCAGCTCCTCCCTCAGCGACACCGAGAAGTTGCGCGGGGTGCAACTGTACAGCCGCGCCTCCTCCTTCAGGAGGTTCAGATCCACCACTGCAAAGAGACAGGGAAAATACCGCTTGCCTCACCTGCAATCCAAGTTCCTTTGCGGCAGATCAACTGCGGTGCAGAACCCGTGGGGAAGGTTCGCTTTTGTGCAGGTTCAGCACAGAAGTACAGTGCTGCAGTTCCATGAATGCCATGAAACTCAAATGGAATGATCGCTGCATAGTGATATTTCCCAATTATTTTATAACTCTGGCAAAGTTGGTTCAAATTAAAGCAAGATTTGGCTTCTATGTTCCAGTATATGTTTTATCAAATCAACCCTAATGGGTTGATTTTGAAGTCAGGTTGTTCACACTAATACTCTGAGCTCCAGTGTTGCTATTCTATGGTAATTTTGGATTGGAGAAACACACACAAAGCAATTAAGAATCCTGCAAGATTTCAAAGAAATTTTTAACTCACTTGCAATAAAGCATTCAAACTTCTTCCTTGTTACAATTTCAACTATTGCTTCTTTGCTAGGCTGTTGTAATTATAAGAAAGAATGCCATTCATTTCTAAGCAGAAATCACTTTTATGGACTAAGAAATTCCAGAAGTTGTCATCATCAGGGAATTCTGCACAGAATAAATAACTCCACAAGATTGTATATCTATATAACTATCAGTAGGTTCCATTTTCTCCTCCCTCTCCGTAACAGCATATACATGAATTTCTGTTGTTTCTCTTGATGTGTCTTAAATAAAAGTTCCTCCTTGTAAGCAACTAACTTGTTAAAATTAGTAATATTTGGCACCAGTTTCCCTATAAACTGGTTCCACTGTATTATATTAAAGCTTCACTATGCCAATGGATGAACAGCAAGCTCATGAAAAGATCTGAAAGATGACAACCTTTACGTTCATCTTAGCTGCATAGTCAAGAGCTAACAAGCCTTGAAAGCAGCAGTTAAAATTGGGGAAAAAATGAATGAGACTGGGGAGAAAAAAAAGTGAGAA